AAGATATCCAATCTCTTCCTCTTATTCACACTGTACATAAAGCCACCAACACACAGGTATCTGCCACCACGAGATGTAGAAAGAAATCGCTGATTCAACTCTAGAATTTACTTACACATCTGAATCTTTTGTTGTTCTTTGCGGACAAAGGCCTCTGCTTTCCCACTTCTTTGTCTTCTAGGTGAACGAACCCTCCTCTTCGTCCAAAACCGCCAAACTGCTTCTGAAAGGTGATGTGTATAAGTGGAAAATATTTCCAGTTGGAAGTTACGAAAATAGTGGTTGTGTAATTTTTATGTATTTTTCTGAATCATAGGATTTACATTATTTGGATAATGTACATCATTTACTGAAGGGTTTGGATTACACATACCTGTTGCAGGTCAAGATCAGTTAGTCATCTTCATTTTGTCCAACACTGCCCCAATGGAATGCTGGAAATGTAGAAATTAAGGGAAATTTCATGAACTTTCTAATTGATATTGTACTCTTGATAACAATAAGGCATGAAAATAGAAGAATAAATATCAATTTGCAACGTGTAGATAGGCTATTATCAAAAGAAGCAAAATTAACAAGTTCATACAATTTTAGGTTGACAATGTACATCCCCAACATATCCTATTAAACGTTCTATATATCTAACTTTCTATGCAAACTTCTTTTGTGGATCTAACAAAATCCACATCTCTTCATTCAGAGTTAAATATCTTGACATTCTAAGTGTAAAATTGTTTACATCAGATGATAAACTTAAATTACCTCATACATCAGTAATCTATCCTATACTGACTTGAAAACCTTTTAAAAAACAGTTTCCAAAACTATTGTGTTGACAATTTATCCACTCAACAGCATTCTAGTATCATGATAAATATCGTCTTAAAAGTTGGCTGAAAAATATTGTAGATTTTGTTTGTCATAGGCTGTCTTGTAACTCTAATAACTAGACAAAGAATTTTGAAACTTCACTCTAACCATGCACCAAATCTGGTCAGAGAATTCCTATTGATGCAAAATGACCCACTATCCCCAACTGTATTGTTTTCAGTGGTACAAATATCAAACTTTTAATAACAAACTTTAAAATAGAACTTCCAATCATTGGATTTCTTGCAATAATATTCGAATACTTCTAAATACGTTTGGAAGTTATCTTGAGTCGTGACATTGCTGGATATATTTATGGTTCATATTGTTCTTGCAAAGATAATACTTCATATATTGCGATAATGAACCATTTATGTGACCTGATCCAAACCACAATCGAGTTCTTGAGTTGACTAAGTAAAGGAAGCCATATCTCTTGCCAACATTTCGACACGCAATTGCTTAGCGAGTTCCATCAAGTCTAAAATTATAATTTCATATTTATTGTCCTAGCTACTTATGTACATTAAACGTTACACATAACATGAGCTATTGCTTAATTCAAGAAATTTACACTGTACCTGACATTGTCGTGGAATGTTCCCTTTCTCCATCCGCGATCGACAACTGCTCCTGTTTTCAAGTGTTCAGGTACCCGAGCCTCCAAAGCTTCTAGTGTAACTCACATTGCCGTTTTCTTGATTCAGATAACATGTACAAGCGAAGGAATCATTCATTGTGCTGGGTTCCTTGTTGTGTTAATAACGGGAGACACTTTGGCCCACTTTCAAAACAACTTCTCATGAGATCAATTGTGTGTAGGGGCATTGAGGGTAATAACAAATACCTAATCCCTTTTCGATTGGCAGGTATGAAAACATTATCTGACCCAATTTGGTTGTGATTTCAAGACATAAAAGACGAAAATCACCACTTCAGTACATAAACCATTGCTTTTATAAAATGTCACGAGTTCGCGCGTGCCCACGGATTACCGACTCATTACTTCTACAGCAATTTAATTTTGATAATAGGTGCCCGTTAAGACGAGACAACCCCAAGGAAGCCGACACACAGACCCCGACATACAAGTGACATGACACTGATTGTTTGTCAAGTACTTGAACTCACTGTCAAGCATACTAACTTTAAATGCTTTTAATGGTAAACATTACTCACAACCTCAATTCATAGTACAATTTCCTGATATTCTAGTTATTGAGAAATTCGTAATGTATGTACCGATTGACAATTGTTTGAATGACATTATACTAAACTTCCTAAATGCTTATACTCTTTCACATTCTAAAGCAAACATAATTAAACCGATTTTCCCCTCAAATTTCACTTTTTGACGTTTAAGATTTTTTAATACTACAGTGAAAATTGTTACTCATCGTAGAATATCATCCATCTATTTAGATTTTCAAAATTCCCAATGATATGAAATGACGATAAATATTTGGTATTTAATAACAATTAAGATTGTAATAAATGATAACATGTGATAACTGAGGATTGTTCATCTAAGCTTGTAAGACACCAAAGTTATTGTCGTACACAAGTGAAACACTTCATGTGTCATATGTATCAAAATTATAACAGTATAGTGATTTGGTGTCCCACAATATCAGTTCTTTCCACACACTCAACATCTTGGTTCAACAAAAACAGGTAAATATAAATTTGACCAATGCGTCAACAACTATTTGGGGTAACCTTTCTTCTTGTTCATCTAAGCAACCTTACAAATTACGTACTCTTTCAAATATAAATCTGCTATTCCTTCCCCAGGCATACTCATTTGGAATTTTAAGACCTTATAATTATTCTACGCAATTACTGATAATGTAATATGATATGAAAGTAGTTAATCTTCGAAACTAAGTTTCAGGAATGGAAACCAACAGTATACACATGACCATAGTTTCTTGTTGGTTTCCATTACCGGAACTATAAGTTTACAGTATTCATTATGGATTCTATTAGGAAACTAGGTTACCTAGTTTCAATGAATGGATACCAACTGGATGCCAGGATGGTCAACTTAATGCCAAATACTTGCAAATTTTAAGGTACTCAGTTCAAAACAGTGCACAGAAAACCAACATGAAACTACATATTTTGGTTTTCCGTTGGTTTCCATTTAATGAAACTTCAATTGCAAATTCCAGGAATGGAAAGCAACAAGAAACCTCAAATCTTAGTTTCTTGTTGGTTTCCATTTACAGAAATGCAAAAATCAAAGAATCCAAAATGGAATCTAGTTGGAAACTCAGTTACTCAGTTTCAGTGAATGGAAACAAACTGGATTCCCCAATTACCCAGTATACGGATGGTTTCCAGGTTTCAGGAAACCAAGTCATTGGCCAGTGACCAACAAACAGCACGAGCATCGATCTACGCAATATTGGGATATGATGACATTTGTCAACCAAGTCAGCGAGCCTGATCACCCGATCCTGTTAGTCGCCTTTAACGACAAGCACGTGCTACTGGAGATCGGTTCTGACCCGGATCTTCACGGGTTACTGAATATGACTATGCAACTGCAAATGTAAACTAAGTAAGTCTAGATCTGTTGCAGACCATGAGAGATTTCATAACGAGTCCTTCCTTTTACACAATTTGTTGGGGTTTTAATATCCTCATGAGCATGCAGAATACATTAAAAAGTATAAATTTCCTAAAAAAAACAAACAATTTTCTTGGGTAACATTTTTTATGAATAAATCTTGCATTACAGCAGAGTGGTAGAATATGTATTTTCTCTTCCAAGTTGTTACAACCACTAGAAGTTAGTGTGGTGGTGTTAGTACTTGACCCATAGATAATAACAATTGTCATGCACTTTCGCCTATCTGCTCAGTAGATCAGAACAGTAACAATGCTACCGCTACTATTGCGGACAATAATATTACAGAACAATGACAGCTCTACCGTGTGTGCAAGCCCGACTGTTTATAATCACTAAACCAGGGATTGATCCCCAAGAACAAAAGAAGTGTCCTATATATCGACGGAGGGTGAACGAGCCTGCCAGATGACTGCTCGTGACGACCCTTGACGTCAAACGATGGTGTAATATTGCGTGTAATTCAGAGTAATTCTAATCAAGGCGCCATCTTCTAACAGAGCCCTTGTGTCACAAAAGGTGTTTACACGTATATCAAAGTAGATAAGTACATGTAAATACCTACATTAATGGCTGTATACCTATATATATATATATATATATATGGGAGATCCCAGATGGCTCAGATAAAGACTGAAGAACCATCCCGTCACTGACTACGAGGAGCGGACAAGTTAGGTATGTGCTCAAGTTATGTATGCATCATGTTATATGCTTCATGTGTTTGTGATTATGTCTGCTATCGGTTCGCTGTACTTGTATAGTTTCACTGTGACATGTAGGATGATATAGTTACAATACTTACTTAAAGGTACGAATAAAATATAGCGGAAAAACATTGGTGTTTTCAGTTCAGCAGTATCCGGGTTACATATGCATTAAATGCTTCCTTAGGCTCCATGGTGTCACTAAATCTGGGTATACCTAACCAGTGTCAGAACACGAGAGGACGTGTAGAGGATTCGTGGGCAAAGCATACGTACCAACAAGTCAAAACTGCTGAAACGTGTCGCCACAGATTAATAACAAGCGATGTTCTGAGTAATCTCCTACCCATAAAGCAACACGTGGGGGATATATTTCAAACCTAACTTGTTTGTCGTACCATGTCAACAAGCCTCTGCCTTGATTGATTGGTTGATTGAGTGAGTTAGTGAGTGAGTGAACTAAGTCCGTTTTGACGTATTATGTCCATGTTGATGCTTTTATGGTCGTTTTGACCCTGTCCCCATGGACGTTCTCACGACTGCCTTTCTCCGTAAATGTACCTGTCAACTGCTATACCAAATACAACAGAGGTCATGGTTGGAGTACCGTCCACTGTTTAAGGTCATGGAAAGTCAAAACAAACCCTCACAACTTGGTGTGTCTACAGAGATGAACATAAACGATTACATGCTTGAAAACTAGTTGTCCAGTAAGAATATCAAAGATGAAATTTAAAACTATAAACGTTTTAAACTAACCCATTTTCTCCATTTCTTTACAGTTCTCACACTGCTAGTTGTATCCTGCAGCCGCCATGCCCAAAACAGTTGGAGTGATAGGTGGGGGAGTAGCGGGTCTCGCGGCCATTAAAACTTCCCTCGACGAAGGTCTGCTGCCCATCTGTTTTGAGAAGTCGGACGGTATTGGAGGACTGTGGAATTACTCCCCTACTCCCCAAGATGGCTACCCTAGTGTCTACAGTTCATGCGTTATCAACACCAGCAAGGAGATGACATGTTATAGTGATTTCCCCATACCCAAAGAGTTTCCAAACTTCATGCATAGATCTAACTTTCAAAAGTATCTGGAGCTGTATGCCAGCCATTTCAAACTCCGCGAGTACATCCAATTCAATCGACTTGTGGAGAAGGTTGAAAAGGGAGATAACTTTGAAGAAACCGGAAGTTGGGTTATCATCAGTCGTGATTTGCAGACAGGAATGGTCGAAAGAGAGGCTGTGGACTTCGTGATGGTATGTCACGGGCACCTGACAGAACCCAACATTCCACATTTTGACGGATTGAAAGAGTACAGTGGCCGGGTTCTACATACTCATGACTACAAAGACTTCCGTGGATTCGAAAATAAGCGAGTTCTGGTCGTTGGGATTGGTAACTCCGGAAGTGACGTGGCTTGCGATTTGAGTAGACATGCAGAACACGTGAGTGTTATTGTTTTCTTAAGTTATAATAATCATCGCTGTCGTTTTATATCAAGATATAATACAGAACACCATATTTTAGATTTGTTAGTTTTAGTCCATAACAAACCTGGTTGAAAATGCTTCCGAGTTAAACAAAAGCCATCGGTTCTTTACATGTTTCCTGTGACATGAGTATAGGGGTACATATTGATCTCATTGATTAATTAGATCTCCATCTTTCAGCTGCCATGCACCGCCGTAATTCAAATAGTTGACACCATGTAATGCATATGTTTCTAACCATTAATATTGCTGTTAAATTCACTTTCCCATTCCTCCACTTCCAGGCGTACATCAGTACCCGCCGTGGATGCTACACTATACAGAGGGCGGGGGAGTTTGGCCAACCGTTTGACCAGGTCGCCATCCAGCGTTGGGTACAAGGTATTCCAGTAAGTCTGATGCGCCCTATACACTACCACAAAATCAACTACCGCTACCGACACAGAGATTACGGACTTTCCCCAAACTTCCGCTTTGACGCAGGAGTCTCAACCATCAGTGACGATCTGCCAAACAGAATTCTCGTTGGAGCTATTAGTATAAAGTCCGACATCAAAACCTTCACCCAAACTGGCGCCATATTTGAAGATGGGTCGGAGGTGAAGGACATCGACGTTGTCATATTGGCTACAGGGTATAACTACAGCTTCCCATTTCTTGATACTTCGATTGTGAAAATGGAGGGACATTTTTCCTACTTGTACAAACTTATTTTCCCTCCAAATATTCGTCAAAACACCTTTGCAGTTGTTGGCTTGGTCCAACCCTTCGGATCTCTTCCTCCCGTTCTTGAGATCCAAGCACGAGTAGCATCGAGAGTATTCGCTGGTCGAGCAGAGTTACCTCCTCCTTCAGTTATGCTTTCCGAGCTGGAAAAACGGAAGGCATTCCTAAAAGCAAGGTACGTGGACTCCGCAAGATACTCGCTTCAAGTGTATTTCATTCAATACCAAGACGAAATCGGTTCCCTCATCGGCTGTAAACCTAATCTCGGTCGGCTTTTCTTCACTGACCCAAAGCTCTGGTACAAGATGGTGTTCGGACCCGCGGTTCCCCCTCAGTGGAGGCTGGAAGGTCCGGGGAAGTGGTCCGGAGCTCGGGACGCCATCTTCTCTGTGCATGAGAACACACTCTATCCCATGCAAACGAGGAAGTCTGGGCAGAATGAAAGGGATGGACTGTATGACGGATGGATAAGTCTGCTGAAGAAGTTGTGTCTGTGTGTCCTGGCCCTTTTGTTCCTGAACTGGCTGTTCCGAAATGGGCTGGTGACTCTTCTGGAGAAGTTATAACTTGCCACATGATGTTTGCTGGCCTTCTCCGAGTCATCTGAAGAATCGGTATGATGTCAGTTCCGCACTGCCGTCACTAGACGTCAGCATTTGTTTATCGCTGTGACCAGAATCTGTGTAGGTATATTCGAGATGTATTTACTGTTGTCCAACCTGTAGGGCATCGTTAAACAAGAACGGTTATATTGATTATAGATCGTAATGAATGTTTAGAATAATGTTTTCACATTAAATGTTCAATTGACGGGAGGGGAAATTCCATCATTACATGAATAAAAATGGAAATCGGCGTTCTCAACCACTTTCTTAACACTGACATGCTTTTATGGATGGTCGATCGAGAGAGAGAGAGAGAGAGAGAGAGAGAGAGAGAGAGAGAGAGAGAGAGAGAGAGAGAGAGAGAGAGAGAGAGAGAGAGAGAGAGAGAGAGAGATTTTATGGATGGTCGATCGAGAGAGAGAGAGAAACGCGAAGACAATGGTTGATTGAGTTACGTCCCATAGGATTCAATGATCCAAAGTTCGTGGGTTCAAATCTAAGATCTGCAGTACTTTGTTTGTCAGTACAACTCGTGCATGCTCTGGGTCTCACCAAGTGGTACACGTGGTTACAGTTCTGTTCAACAATCCAATGACTGATACCCCGATCACACAATTAGCATACAATGTGTGCCAACGTGTAATCAACACGGTCAAGATCCCTGTCCACTCGATCCCTTTAGTCGTTTCTCACAAGCATGGGTTAGTAGGGACCTACATTCGTACCCGGAATACCCAGTAGCTATATTTTGCAGGACACTAAGCCATACGAAGGAACGGTTTATATTAAATGAATGAGAAAGGTTTTACGCCACTTTTAGCAATATTCCAGCAATATCACGGCGGGGAACACCAGAAATGGGCTTCACACATTGTACCCATGTGTGGAATCTAACTGGGGTCTTCGATGTGACGACTGACTGACTGAGTTTGGGATACGCCGCTTTTAGCAATATTCCAGCAACATCACCGCAGGGGACACCAGAAAAGGGCTTCACGCAATGTACCCATGTGGGAATTCGAACCCGGGTAATCGGCGTGACGAGTCAACGCTTTACCCACTAGGCTACCCCACCGCCCCTCGACGTGACGAACGAATGCAAAACGTATATACGTATTACAGGAAAATGTTGCTTTAAACTATGGTATATCTCAAATAACAGTGGATGAACTACTACATTAAGCCCTATACACCTGAACAAAGTTCCACACAAATCCATGATATATATACTAGTATACTATGTTAACATCTCAAATAACAGTGGATAAATTACTACATAAAGCCCTATACACCTGAACAAAGTTCCACACAAATCCATGATATATATGCTAGTATACTATGTTAACATCTCAAATAACAGTGGATAAATTACTACATAAAGCCCTATACACCTGAACAGAGTTCCACACAAATCCATGATATATATACAAGTACACTATGTTAACATCTCAGATAACAGTTGATGAATTACTACATATACAGCCATATGAACCTGAACAATTTCCACACAAATCCACGACTCACGGGAAATGACGACAATAGCCGACTGGTTGTTTCACTTGAGTAAATACAGGGGATCACACTTGTAAACGTGAACGAGGTCAGATGACGTGTGACCCAGTTCGGAAATCAGCTTGATTTTTATCCGCCGTAATCCCAACTCGAGTGAGCTGAATGAAAATGGCGACCCTGCCTCTCGATTTGATAGAACCACAGACTCTCCTGGTGACATTAGTGGCGGTAGCTGTGGCATACTATCTGTTCTGTTCCTCTTCACACGAACTTCCACCTGGCCCTAGAGCCTGGCCAGTTATAGGCAATCTTCTCGACCTGGGGGAAGTATGGACGCACCAAAGTGCATTTGTATTATTCTGAGCTGCAGAAAAAGTATGGGAACGTATACAGGATATATTTCGGGAGTTCCATGATGACGATTGTAAATGGATATGAACCTGTGCACGAGGTGTTGGTGAAGCAAGGCGGGGTGTTCAGCTACCGTCCGACCTGGTTATACTCCACAAAACAAGCAACAAAGAGAGCGAGAGGTGAGCACTTCCGGGTTGGGAAATCTTTCAGAAACTGTATATATATATGTATATATATGTAGGTCTGCCGAAATGCCAACAGGCGAAGGCGTCCTCAAAAGCACCTAACTGAAGAAGAAGAAGATATATATCACTGTGCGTCAGCTGTTCGTGTTTAGCTGTTCGTGGTTATCACGTCACATGTATGTTTATCCGAACAGTTACAGTAATATAGCCTGCATATGGGGTCGAAGCAGTGAGAATCCATGATCAGCGCAGTGTCTATGTCAACGTGAGATTATATATATTTGGAAAGTGCCTAATGCAGTATACACCTGTTTAATTCCAAGTATTCGCTAGGTGTGTCGACAAATGTAAATATTTACACCACAAAAATATTTACAAGAACGCCACGACTAAGTTTTGATGGTTCATTCCCAGGAAGACGACAACTGTGATGTTTAAAACAACAAATTAGTGGAGCATGCAAGGATTTTCAAGTCGACTGCCTCTGGAGAACAATAGAGGTCCTGTGTGACTTTAAGCACACCGGTGATACTAAATTGTTAACCGGTAAATAAATGAAATACTCCCACGAACCATTATTTACACCCCTAAAATACATATCACATTTTTATCCGTGACCATGCACTTTATCGATAACAAGCAATTCATATACAGTAGAACCAGAAATTATTGAGAATTTAAAGATTGTAAATATTTTTTTTCACTCAGTACTCACGTATTAAATGTGATTATTAGCAGAACATAACTCCAGATTCAAAGACAGGTGAACAGTTAGTATTGGTACGCAGTGGAAATTAAACTAAAATATCTATGGTGTGCAGTGGAAGGTAAACTAAACTACATAAATTTTTACTTACCTTTCAATCAACTAAACGTGAAATCCCCTTATAATCAACTAAACGTGAAATCCCCTTAAAATCAACTAAACGTGAAATCCCCCTATAATCAACTAAACGTGAAATCCCCTATAATCAACTAAACGTGAAATCCCCTTATAATCAACTAAACGTGAAATCCCCTTTTTAATGCAATGAGAAATGTGAAATAAACTAATAAATAATGAAGTTTAAACTGAAATGAAGAAACTGTCTACCTAGCAAGTGTTAAGTGTTAGTGAATAATTCTCTCAACTATCCCTGTTTCTATTTCTATTTTATCTGTACTTGCTAGCTATCACTTGGAGAGAGTTACCCATTAACAACCGTCACTAGCGCCTAAAACTGAAAGTTTTAACATCTGTATCATACGCGGTCGACCTTCGCACAGAATCTCGTGCAGCATGAAAAGCAAATGTCCTTGCTGGGCTTCACTCATTGTACCCATGAGGGGATTCGAACCCGGGTCTTCGGCGTGACGAGCCGACGCTTTAACCACTAGACTACCCCACCGCCCCCTTGTTCTACTTGAAATCACTTCAGCTGATCTGATGTCCTTGTTATAATACTCTAAAAGCAACTTCCTCTTCTCTAAATCATCCATACTGAGGATCACTGAAAATGTCGTCTGCTAGCAAGTAAACAAAGGGGGATAACTCTTCACAAACTAATGAAAAAGGATTAACGGAGTTGTCTCTCTTGAAAGAAACCAAGCACTTGATAGCTGGTCAAGGTTGTTTATACTAAAATCCAATTGAACATATTCCTAAAATTCTCAATAATTTCTGGTCATACTATACAGGCCTTGTGTCTCCAGTGAAGTGTGGCGCCACAACCACGAATTGAATCAAATGGGATACGGGGATAAATGGTGACATTTTACTTTTAAAAATTTTGAAATACGGACCTGTCATCTGGTCCTATAGTATTACTTGGCAGTATGGTAAGTAAAACATTTAACGTAATTACAGTGGGATCACACCACAATAGCGTGTACAAACAATAACACACCTCCTTTTGTTTACAGGAATCATATGGGGGGACGGAGAGGAGTGGAGACAGTTACGTCGAATGACCTTGGGGGCATTACGTGACCTTGGAGTTGGTAAATCACCCCTTGAGGAACGTATTACTGAAGAGATACATTATTTGAAAGAAGTTCTTACGGACCTAGACGAACATCCAGTACAGATCAGGAAACTATTGACTCGATCTGTGGCCAATGTCATTTACAGCGTAGTGTTTGGTTCAAGGTAACATATCATAGATACTTATAACATCTGTGTTCTTCAGCGCGGATGAGTAGGCGAGTGATGAAGCGTTCGCTCGTCATGCCGAACGCCCGTGTTCTATTCCCAACTTGGGTACAGCGTGTGAAAGCCAATCGGCTGTGTCTCCGCCATGATTGTGCTGTTCTGTTGCTAAAAGTGGCGTTAAACAGACCATGTGACATCATATTTCCTTCTCAATTACTGCAGGAGACGTGTGGAGTGAGCCACCAAAATATGCTGCCAGATTTATATTTCCGCTGGTCGCGGTTTTGAATCAAAGGCAAGCCCTGATATGATCCTTGGTATGTGGACGCCATATCTGTACACATTTATTATGCCATTTAGCAAGACCGACGTCGCATTAGGCTTAACTCCCATAGCACGCAAATACGATTGAACCAGTAAAACAGGGCGTACAAATATCTCACTAACTGTCAATTGTAAGAAGTATCATTATGGGGGGTACCGTGAGGATCCAGGGTATGAATATAATCATGTACCCTGCAAGTCATCTTTGTCTTGGTAGGCCACTAAATGGATCGGGTTTTCTGACTTGGTGACTTCCAGTGGATCGATGTTCACTGGTCTAGGTGATCCACAAACAGCCGTCACTAAGTATGGTGTTAAGTAACAAACAACATACTTTAGACGAAATACATCCTGAGAACAAATAATATTCGTGAAATTAAATGTTATTCAAATACGATTTCAGTTTGATCCAACGAAGTGTCCTCATGCTCTGCTCTGCTCTGTTTAGATTTGAGTACGATGATCTAACGTTTAAGTCTCTCTTGGACATCACAGACAACTTGTTCCGTACCCAGGGTTCAATGGCAGCCATCAATGCTATTCCATCCCTCAGGCACCTCCCGTACTTCAAAAAGGTGAGACCCCTGCGCTGTGTATAATGGCCCTGCGCCGTCTTATCGCATCCTAATTACGAATATGCTCATACTGTTCATCACTGGATTGTCTGGTCCAGACTCGATTATTTACAGACTACCGCCATATAGCTGGAATATTGCTGAGTGCGGCGTTAAACAACAAACCAGCCAGCAACCAGCCTTGCGATTTGTTTTATAAATTAAAGTTGTTGTTTTGCTCATGTCAAATGAGGTCGATCATGTGATGTCATGCGTCGTTATCCATCGTCCGTCTGTCCAGAGACAATGGAAGATATTTACGCCCAACATATGGAAGATCGATATCATTTTCACATGTTAAGAGTTTCAAGATGGCAACAAGTATTAGTACAAATTCGTTGCTAGAGCAACATCACAATCATATCTTCGACAGTTGATGCGTCCGTACTTTGAAGGCAGTAATAAGATGTCTACGTACGCTGAGACACGTATTGAAGAACACCGATGTACCTACCAAGAAGACGTGGAACGGGATTATGTCGACGTCTTCCTCAAATATGAGGCTGAGAATCCTGATTCCACTGTCTATACAGGTGAGGTTAGCTGAAATATGGTCAAACAACAATATAGTGCAAGTCCTCCAAGTTGACCTACCATTTGTCTTCTCCATTTCTGACTGTTATATATGCTATGGAATTGTCTCATTTGAATACATCCACTTGGTCTGTATTAATCCACTTCCTTAGAAAGTACTCTTTTGCACTTCCACAAATTTCTTTCCAAAACTAGGATGTGAATTTATGAACAAATATCTATAACTAGATTATTATTTCCGAAGCATAACTTTGTCAACGATTTACTGCAGTGGGTGTAAGGATATTGTGATAGTGATGCACCTCACTACGGCTTGTATCACATCACAGCTGTACACTACTTTGCACAACCTACTCTTCTGCAGCTTCCAATATGACGCGGTGCATTTTGGATCTAATCTTGGCTGGAACAGAGACAACTTCCGGTACATTGGATTTCGGGGTCCTGTACATGATAAAGTACCCGGATGTTCAACACAAGTGTCAAAAAGAGATAGACAGGGTAATTGTTCTCTGACAGCTCATGACTAGGTATATTCTACTCATCTTTTGATAAGGATATTCTGAACGTCCATAGAGATGTTGCCGTTTTAACGCATCCCATGGCCGTGTTGAGTGAGTGAGAGGAATAGCGAGCTTTACGCCGGGTTTGGATATTCATTGGTAATTTCAGGGCCTTGGTTACTTACACAGGGGCTTGAAACGCTAAAAACTGCCATCAAGGTATGTACTGTCACTAACGGGGTCTTATAAAAGGAAATTCTTTCCTGTGGTTACTTAGGTGAAACCCAAGAGCTCAGTTCTGGTCCTGAAATAGTAAGATAGGGTGAAGTATTGCATTCGAACCCAAAACTGTGATTGTATGTTTAATCAATAGTATGTATTATCTCATTTAGTATGCAACACATACACCTTAGTCAGTTGCATAATATAATTATGTCAAAGTCACTAATAAATATTATAGGTTGATAAATGATCAGCTGCATGGTGTGATCTAGAGAACTTGACAAAATGTCCACAGCAATTGTTTCGTGTGAAGGTAAGGTGAAGTACTGTATCATACTGCCTACAGGTTGTGGGATGCGGGCGGGCAGTGCGAGTCTCCGACCGGCCTTCCCTAGTCTACACTGAAGCCACAATAATGGAGATACAGCGCATGTCGTGTGTTGGTCAGTCCAGAATGATGTTGTTATTGTTGTTGTTGTTGTTGAGGCATTCGCTCGTCTCGCACAGTCCCTGGGATCGATAACGACATGGATACGACGTGTGGAGCCAGCTGGTTGTTTCACAGCCTTGCTATGGCTTGATTATCGCTAGGAGGCCAAACTCAGTTTGATATAAATAAAGACGACCCAGATAGCTCATAGCCAGTGCGCGATCTGGGGTCAAATAATGAATTCGTATGGCGCCTACATTCCACTATAAATGGAACTAGTTGGCGAGTCAACCTACAATCAGAGGGTCAACCTACAATCAGAGGGTCCTAGCACCACAAAGGGGCGCTACTCTGAACTGTGAATTGCATTTGGGGTCTGGGCCACACGTGCCCCGTCTTGCATTCGATTTCGCGAGTGTTGTTAAAAGTACAAGACTATGTATTAAGAGTTCTATTCCAGACCAGTTTATGTGTTAAAGACTCATGGTAGTGGATTTAACCGTACCTGGTGTAAACGGCGTAAAACATGACCCACTTGCTCATGATCTTTACGTTGTGAAATGCGCATATCGCACTTTGAGGTAGTGAAAGAGTGTACGTGACGAGCCAACTCGAGAAGAAATAGGCAAGAGCCAAGTGCTGCACTCGATACTGTACGGTGGCAGTGGTTTTGCTTATAAGGTCTTTAATCCTCATGAACCAGTGTTTTGTATGCATGGTCCTCATTCTGCTCATTATCCAATACACTATATCTACCTTCAGCTTCTGCAGGTGTTCTCCGTACAAGCCCATGGGATGCCTGGGTGGGAGGGTATCGCATCCCCAGGAACACCCTGGTGTACACCAACATCTACTCGGTACTGCACGACCCAGATGTATGGGGGGAACCCCATATCTTCAAACCGGAGAGATTCATCACCCCCGAAAGGGAGATAATTTACCCTGATCCGTGGATTCCGTTTGGTGGAGGTTAGTACATTTTCTAGTAACGGGATATTGTACCGGAGTGTGTCCATGGACTTCAAACGCTTATGGTATCATAGTATCTTGATAGTAAGACAGTATATTAAGTATCATATAAAATGGTAAACTGTTGTGTTTGTGGGCAGGTCTCCGGATGTGTGCAGGTGAGATTCTGGCGAGGATGGAACTGTTTCTCTTCTTCTCGAACCTGCTGCAGAGCTTCCACTTCTCCAAGGTCGGCAACGCTGAACCCGACATTGACCCTGAGTTTGGGATGACAATGACTCCAAAGTCGTACGAGGTCACAGTTCAGTCCAGACTCTAATGACAGTCAGCGATGCTTGTTCCTTCTACAACAGCTCCCTCTGCAAGTTTATTCACAGACAGGTCACAGGTGACCTCTTACAGCTATACACACGATACAGACTTGCCATTTAAGCCAAACTGCATTGAAGTGACAGTCATGAAGCGCATTTGTGAAGTCCTTCTCTTGAAAATCAACAGTGTTTAAGATTATCGGACCCGTTACCTGATCGGATTTCCTGTATAACACTACTCGTTATCAAAATGTTTATACAAAATATATTGTATTTAGATATATATGACAAGATGTCCATAGCTAATTGAATCAAACGACTATATATCAGAGTATAACAGATTCTAAGCCATGTATTACTGTATAAAGGTGAGACTTGTTCAGCCTAAACAATGAGTTCTTCCAGATCAAATCCCAGTTTCACCTTGTTACATCTATTAACATGCTGGGTAATAATATTGATCGTTCATTTGACAAAATCACCTGAATCTGTATTTGTGTGTAACCCCTACCTCTACCTGGAGTGCCTAAATATCTGGATGTAGTTTATCCAAAATTTCAGATTTCTACCTAGGTCTAAATTCTAAATAGAAATATAGAATACCAAAGAGAATCTCCCAAAGCCAAACCAAGAACAGGTATGTATCATGATTCGTTTATCCAGACATTTCTCAATCGGGGCGGTTTTACTTGGAACTGTGCTGTCCCAACAATCAGTATGTTACTGCATTAACTAAATATGTGTGCTTCTCTGTGATGGAGTCTGTAAACCGTCTTCCGACGTTAGCTCAGCATCCTACACGTGGGCTACACGTGACAGATTCACTAGGAGAGTCACGGTCCGTGTTACAGTCCACCCTGTCTAAATCGGACTGGTTTTGGAATTACGCTGCGTCAGGTTTCAACTGATGTCCGTTCTTGAGTAATTGAATCAAGTAATCCATTGAATAATTTGTAACCTGATTTGTGCCAGTATTTTAAACATTATGTAACCTTTTATTTTTTAAACTTTGTTTATTGGTATTTTAAAACAAATGTGATATTTGCCTTGTTGTGATTCCATGTATGTATAATATTGTGTTTATTCTGCCTCTCGTAGAACCTAACTCTTTTGCAGAAGTACTTTCTAACGTGATTTGATAATGGAATTGGTGTGAGGCAGGTGTATTTTTATAGCTATTTCTTACTCGGAATTGCAACCATTACAGTAGACTAAGGCTTAGTCTCTGAATGTATATATATAATTTTGATAGTAACAAACAAGCCCATTTACATTGAAAAGGAGCCCTAGGGAGACCAGAGATTCAGAACCTGAGGAAATCTAGACTTGCTTTATTTAGGGCTTTAGCACTGGAGAAAGGGCTTGGCAGTAGGGAAATTAATGTGGTTCAGGGACTGTGAGACAGACTACCATTACAGATGAGACGTGCGTTTCATTTTACTTTCATTTAAACTTATATTTAGTTTTATCTCGCGAGATGACACCTCACTTAGGGCGGTCTGCAGCTTCAGTCGCTTGCCATAGGGTCATGATTATGCATGTGGTATTTCACGTTGTTTGTTGAGGGCCTCGCATGTTGGATTTGATGGTATGGTATGAGCACTGTAAAACAGGTAACGATCAACGAAGCCTTCTAATTGTGTGGCAAGTGATAATTTCAGTCATTTGGGGGTCTTGTTCACAAAGTGCTTTTGTTAACAGTTACATTGAACCGAAATTACACTAAAGATCTTACCAAAAGAATTCCCGAAATCGTGTTCAACCCTAGCAATTCATATCTCATTTTGACTTATGTACGAATAATATACCCTAAAGGGTTTGAAGTCCTGAACTTATGATAGATAATAAAGGCAGATTCTTGTGTAAGAGAACATTGTTTTGTACAAGATAGGTACAACGATGAGAACTTATATTTGATGTATGAAATACCTTTGTCAAAATCATATCCTTGTCAAAATTTTGACATTTTACGACAAACGTTACCTGAGATTAAGTTGCCACTGCTGGAGAGGCAGTCGACAGGAACCGGACTCCATGGCGTGCTAATCAAGAAATACATTTCGATTTCGGTACAAGTGGAGTGCATTGCATACATTACAATATAACTCGGAGGATTTGTTGGCTGTGACCAAATAAGTTACTGCTGTTGTTGCACCAGTCGATCACGTGCTGGATCCACGGGATCCACAGCTATCCAGCCAGTATTTATACTATGTGATATTTGAAGGTGCTATATGTTTAATTATTCGTTTTCATAAGTCTACATGTTGTTGAGGTACACAAACACAAATATCGTTATTAAAGACACAAGTATTTTAGAAGACCAGAAGCTGGGTCTTAGCTTTGAGATTGCACAGCTATGGATTCCAGTGTAGAAGGTTATAGCCAGCTTCACCCGTGAGGTGCGGGTCAGATTAGGTATTCCAGCGGGCCAAAATATGTGTCTTAGCTTTGATTTTGTTCAACTATGGATTCCAGTGTAGAAGGTTATAGCCAGCTTCACCCATGAGGTGCGGGTCAGATTAGGTATTCCAGCAGGCCAAAAGATGGGTCTTAGCTTTGATTTTGTTCAGCTATGGATTCCAGTGTAGAAGGTTATAGCCAGCTTCACCCATGAGGTGCGGGTCAGATTAGGTATTCCAGCAGGCCAAAAGATGGGTCTTAGCTTTGATTTTGTTCAGCTATGGATTCCAGTGTAGAAGGTTATAGCCAGCCTCACCCATGAGGTGCGGGTCAGAATAGGCCCACAGTACTTACTGCTGACTACCCACTATAATGTGATTGGGTTGTTACACGTCCTGGTTCACTGCGTGGATAGGTGCTCATGCTGTCAGCTGTTGATTTGCCTGGTCGTGAGTTGTGTACAGGCCGCAATAAGGATGGAATATTGCTGCCTGCTGCAAAAACTTACATTCCCCCATTTCATGACATGCTCATATGATAATACATTACCATTAATATGCTGGCTACAAAAAGAAGCTATGCATTAATAAACTCATTTCCAAACTGAATATTATAACAACAAAGAAACATTTCCATGTAAACTTTAATAGGTGGATATTGAGATCATAAGAAGACGTCACAGATGCTTCATGTCCATGGCATGAGTCCAAAGGTGGGGCAGGGTTCCCGCAGCAATGCCACACATTTTGACCGGTATACCCAACAGCAGTGCATCGGCGACGCATAACGCCCACCAAGACGTCTGAAGGCAGACACGCTGACTGCGAGAAATGTTAAATCAGAACTTGTCTGTAAAACAACAGTCCTCTTCCATAACAGAGGTTGACAGACATGACTTTCTCGATGACACTGCGTCAGGCCAGGTCGTATGGCGGACGACGTGGTCGTATCCCGTAATGTCCTGTGTTGGGGTGGATACGAGGTAGTCACGAAATGATCTGAGCAGTGGTCACTGCAGTCAGGAACCTGTGCCGGAGATCGGTCACCCGTATCCATCTGACCTGTCTTTGCGTTGTGACACGTGGACGTCCTGCACAAGGACGATCTCAACACTACTGAAATGGTGTTTCATGGCAATAGAAATACGTAGCCACATGAAGTTGTGTTGTAGAATGCCATTCCATGATGTGCGGTTCATTAGTCGTCTAAAATTTTGAACGATCAAAGGTGAACAGATGAGCTTCTCAAATCGACATGAGTTTCTGACATTCATGTGCTCCACCCAGGTTAGTGAGATGCACATTCACAAACGTGTTGCACATGTCCATGCCGAAACCACTGGCGTCATGATACGTAGCACATGTGTTAAAGTCAATTTACAACTACTGTGTTTACATCTGTGTTTGTGTACCCATGTAGTTCCATTGTATATTTCGATTTCCTGGGTGGACAATTTCCTTTTGTGGCTAGCATACATTGAATGGACTTAAAGTGTAAATGTTTGTAAATAATGTATCCATATATTGTACCATCCACTTCATAAAATAAATATTTGATCAAAAACATCGTTGCGTGCTCCTTAAAACATATCCGGAGAGCGGAAGGTCGCGGGTTCGATGCCCGACGGCGTCATACCAAAAGACGTTAAAATATGGTACTTGTTGGTCCCTGCCTGGCGCTCGGCATTAATGGGTACATCAAGGACTGGTCAGCTCGGAGTCAGTATAATCTGTCTGAGTGGGGTATTCATGTTTCACTGCGGCATGGTATCTCAGTGGGCTAGCACTATAAAACCAGCTTGAGTCTGGGCTAGTACAAGCAGCCGCACCTACACATACACATGCATGCACGTGGTCATATGAGCAAAATATTCTCAAGAACGACAATAAACACAATTTCACCTCACCTTAAAACATATTCATGATGTACTTTTTATCACCATCTTAGCCATGGACATAATTACAAACATATCAATGGCAGCCGTAAACAAGTTGTGACGATATATCAGCGCCACCTGCTGGCAGGTTTGAATCCTGATTTGCACCAGTTAAGCTGTCTTCTTTGGTTAGCAGAATTACTGAGTACTTCTCTCCAAGAACTGACACATCAGACAGAATAATTTTAGACGTCTCAGTTGGGCAACATTTTATATATGGCTCCTATGACATTTTGTTTTTTGTTTAATATTTTAGTTTTGCCATATCATTCTGATTCAGATTCAGGACTGGTTTAAGAATGGGTGGGGAGGATGTTCAAATTTTGATTTCTTGAATTAATTTGTTGGTTCATGAATATTTCAATAAAGTAAAAGTCATTTATAGTTTCGTTGTATTTTACATGGTCATGTCATCAAAACAACCACATTAATGTTTAATCGAGCGAGTACAGGCCATTTGTTAGACACAGTAACATACAAAACAACAGACAAGCAGTGATAATTTATTTTTGATAACTGTCATTTGATGTAAACTCTAATCAACACAATTAAAACCTTATGTTAAGCTCTATGCATCATGTATCCCAACCATTAACATTGGATGCCAAATCTTGTAGTATGCTCGGAGCACCCCATCAGAACCCCAGTCAGTTAAATTGTCCGCTCCTACACAGGAGTACACAACCCAAGCTGCCTGTTTATGTTCACACTAAGATCATATCCTTCCAACAACCATTCACGGAGTGAACAAATTCTTGCCAACCGAAGGAGAACCCCTGTTTCCCTGCAGGGCACAACCCAGAAACTCCAAGCAGCCAAAGGTCCCCCATCCATCAACCCTCAGCAACAAACACTGCTGACCTTGGCTTGATGTGTGGCATTGAACACAGGACAAGTGTATATTAAACAGGTTCTTGGCTTGGTCATCTGGCAGTCCTAACTCTCACATGTAGTACTGTATCGTTGAGTAGCCACTGTATTATACAGCCATTCTATTGGACAATCCATATTATCATCTGTTTCTCAACTCCAGGTTTGGCTTCCGAGGCAGTGGGCAAACACCACAGTAAAGCGAAAACAAAATTAGAAAATTGACTTTTGGTTGAAAATACAACTGGTAAGTTGTGTACTTTTTCAGATTTGCGAAAATCATGTGCTAATATATTCCCAGAACCAAATGCTACCATACCTTTCAAAACAATACAATGCCGATACAAATAACATAATGCTAAAAATAGCATCCAATCAAATTCAGTTATAAGCAAAGATATTTTAAGCAAGGTTACTGATGAAAGAGATGCAGATGGTGATGTTACTTCCAAAACAGAGCTATGGTGATGAATGGCTACAAGGTATTTATCAGAACAGAATCACGATATAATACACTGGATAATCAAACATGAGAGTATTGTTCATTGGGAACTACAATTTCACACACATCACACATTTTCCTTCTTACATACTGTCATACATAGCTTCACAGTGCATGTGCCCATTTGCTGAAATGGTAGTGAGTTATTTACATATTGAAAATGATAGTATAATTGTATTTACATTTGTGTCACATTGATACTGACTGAATGGACGGAAAGTCATAATTATACATTAAATGCTTTCAATGTGCAATACAATGCAAGTATGTATAATATGAACATTGTGTAGAATACTGACAGGGGTATTAAAACATGAATACTTGTGTATGTGTTATCAACAAACAAGATCTGGGCCAGTTGCACAAAGCGATCTTAGCGCTCTGACTGTCAAAGGCCCAGGTTAAGTATGGGAGTTACTATCATCTTAGTGCTATGATTGCTTTGTACAAGTGGGCCTTGTTCTGTATTTCTGTACAGGTAAGACCGGCTAGGGGATACATACATGTAACACACAATGTACTGTTCCAGTGTACTACAGCATAGCTGATCCCAGGTGGGCCATGTTGGTGGTTTGGGGATATTTTGACGTATGGTGATCATTATATCAGGGCCACCTAATACATGTTTTAAACAATACAGACAGGAATATCACACACACATTTTACATTGAGCAATAAGTCCATGTTGAACAGGAACCAGTCAGTCCTGCGGAGCAAAGAGTCTCCACCAAAAGACAACCAATCATCTGGTGTGAAGACATCCTGACGGGCAACCAGTCAATCCTGAAGGGCAACCAGTCAATTCTGAAGGGCAACCAGTCAATCATGAAGAAGAGCTAGTCAATCTTGAAGAGCATCCAGTTTACAATTCAGGAATTTTCCCAATTGCAAGACACACATACAATGAACGAAGTTGGTACGATCAGTCCTCTGTCACAAACACAAATCCTCCATCAAGACTGCAACAACGGTGTCACTGTCCGAGATTTGCTTGAGGAAAGGTCAGTATTTGACCGGCGGTCACCACTAGGTGGTCGAGGTACAATCATTCCCTCAGTGTCTCTGTCTGTTACATAATCATCACCATTCAGGTTATTCCTCACCATGTCAATGCTGTCCCTACTGAGTGGCCGATCGTTGTTTCGACGATGATGTGTTTCGTTTTTGGACACTTGATTGTTCAGGCCCTGGCTCACTAGATAAGGACTTTGGTTAATTTCTGGCAAAATTAGCCGCTTTCCTTCAGGTTCAGCAAAATTATAAAGCCTTGACATGTCTGAAGTTTGTTTCTCCAACACAGAACTCAATCTGAGTGTGCTCCTTGAAGAAGTTCGTGAAATTGACTCTAAATCCATGTCATCTGCATGTCCATTTTCATAAATATCTGACTCTGCAATGGCTTTCCATGTCTCAGCACGGATTTGTCTCGTCCACGTTCCTAAAGGACATACCAAGTGAATAAGAATTACACCAAGAAAATTTGTGCATTTACATTTTAAAGCATACAGAAAAACAAACAAAGAAAAACAAACATAACAATCAATATACTATGTAGGGAGATGAAGTCACTGACAGAATGGGAGTAGTACGTAATGGCGTGGTTACATGATACTGAAGCATATTATAGGCCAAGAATTCACATACAAAACATGAATATATTTTGAGTGTTCACTTGAGAATCCAGAGCCAGGATGCAGACGTCCCTTTCTCAGACATCTACATGGTCAACTTGCACCTGCCCCCAATGTGTTCACTTGGTTATATATTCAGAATGCGTATCCCATTTTTCATTTTTTCTTACATAAAAACTCTTTGATTGAGGATGGAAGGAATGTTGTATATAGTAATTCTGCAGCTATTCAGGGCTGACCACTGACTTGACTTGCAACTAGCCTCTTCTGTGACGGCATGACTGCTACAACACCATCAACATACCTGCTTCCCTGCCACCTTCATCCCTCTCCTCCTCCTCTGTGTCAACCCCATCGTCTTCCTCCTGGAGAGCCTCCAGACGGGAGCTGAGGGGGAAGTGAGCCTCTGCCAGCAGCCTCTGCAGAACCTCGTCCGTCAGGCGCGTGGGATTCTGCAGGACACTCACCACTGACGACACTTCCGACCTGGGCAGTATTGACATCCTACTGTTAGTTATTGCAGGCTTATACATCACACTATCCATGGATGAAAGCATGCCTATAGCCTACGCAGGGTTTTATGACAACTCACAAACATAGGTCCCCCAGGGACCTCTAATTATTAGACTTAAGGGTCCTTGAAGGCATTACGAGGGTCCTGTCAAGTAAAGGTGTATGTTTTGATAATTTCTTTAGAGCTGGAATGAATGAACTGATGGGTGAAATGATGCACCTAACTGCTCTGAAAAAAAAGAACCAAACACTTAGCAAATCATAGATGTGTTGTGGGCACTGTGAACAATGTTGTGCTTCCCTCTGGACGCAGTGAATTTTTGTTTTGGCGTCCATTCTCTAAATTTGTGCATACTGGACACACATTTGCGCGTCACGTAACCCTGATATGTATTACCCTGTTCTAGGATCTGTGTGTTTTCACACTGCACTCTCAGCTCCCTGGGGAGTATACAAGCTGCAAAAATTCAATCCAAGTATAACCTATTTATATATCTTGGAGAAAATGGCGAATTCAAAATATCTAAGTAATGTACACCCTGATTGTACCTACAGGTGAATACAAAAATCCAGCTAGAATCTTATAGCAATTGGCCATTCATGCCAGCAATAGTTGGCTGTATCATACCAGAAATTGTCAGCTACAGCTGCTTTTAGATATGGACAATCATCCCGTTGCTTTGTGGGACAGGACCCTGTGTGATGAACATCAGTGTCATCATCCTAACAGAATGAATCCCTGCACACACAACCAACTACAGTGAGTACTGGAAACTTATCATACTAGAATGAATCCCTGCACACACAACCAACTACAGTGAGTACTGGAAACTTATCATACCAGAATGAATCCCTGCACACACAACCAACTACTGTGAGTACTGGAAACTTATCATACTAGAATGAATCCCTGCACACACAACCAACTACTGTGAGTACTGGAAACTTATCATACCAGAATGAATCCCTGCACACACAACCAACTACTGTGAGTACTGGAAACTTATCATACTAGAATGAATCCCTGCACACACAACCAACTACAGTGAGTACTGGAAACTTATCATACCAGAATGAATCCCTGCACACACAACCAACTACTGTGAGTACTGGAAACTTATCATACCAGAATGAATCCCTGCACACACAACCTACTACTGTGAGTACTGGAAACTTATCATACCAGAATGAATCCCTGCACACACAACCAACTACAGTGAGTACTGGAAACTTATCATACTAGAATGAATCCCTGCACACACAACCAACTACAGTGAGTACTGGAAACTTATCATACCAGAATGAATCCCTGCACACACAACCAACTACAGTGAGTACTGGAAACTTATCATACTAGAATGAATCCCTGCACACACAACCAACTACAGTGAGTACTGGAAACTTATCATACCAGAATGAATCCCTGCACACACAACCAACTACAGTGAGTACTGAAACTTATCATACCAGAATGAATCCCTGCACACACAACCAACTACAGTGAGTACTGGAAACTTATCATACTAGAATGAATCCCTGCACACACAACCAACTACAGTGAGTACTGGAAACTTATCATACCAGAATGAATCCCTGCACACACAACCAACTACTGTGAGTACTGGAAACTTATCATACCAGAATGAATCCCTGCACACACAACCAACTACAGTGAGTACTAGAAACTTATCATACCAGAATGAATTCCTGCACACACAACCGACTACTGTGAGTACTGGAAACTTATCATACCAGAATGAATCCCTGCACACACAACCAACTACAGTGAGTACTGGAAACTTATCATACCAGAATGAATCCCTGCACACACAACCAACTACAGTGAGTACTGGAAACTTATCATATTAGAATGAATCCCTGCACACACAACCAACTACAGTGAGTACTGGAAACTTATCATACCAGAATGAATCCCTGCACACAACCAACTACTGTGAGTACTGGAAACTTATCATACTAGAATGAATCCCTGCACACACAACCAACTACAGTGAGTACTGGAAACTTATCATACCAGAATGAATTCCTGCACACACAACCGACTACTGTGAGTACTGGAAACTTATCATACCAGAATGAATCCCTGCACACACAACCAACTACAGTGAGTACTGGAAACTTATCATACCAGAATGAATCCCTGCACACACAACCAACTACAGTGAGTACTGAAACTTATCATACTAGAATGAATCCCTGCACACACAACCAACTACAGTGAGTACTGGAAACTTATCATACCAGAATGAATCCCTGCACACACAACCAACTACAGTGAGTACTGGAAACTTATCATACCAGAATGAATCCCTGCACACACAACCAACTACAGTGAGTACTGGAAACTTATCATACCAGAATGAGTCCCTGCACACACAACCAACTACTGTGAGTACTGGAAACTTATCATACTAGAATGAATCCCTGCACACACAACCAACTACTGTGAGTACTGGAAACTTATCTACCAGAATGAATCCCTGCACACACAACCAACTACTGTGAGTACTGGAAACTTATCATACTAGAATGAATCCCTGCACACACAACCAACTACAGTGAGTACTGGAAACTTATCATACCAGAATGAATCCCTGCACACACAACCAACTACAGTGAGTACTGGAAACTTATCATACCAGAATGAATCCCCTGCACACACAACCAACTACTGTGAGTACTGGAAACTTATCATACCAGAATAAATCCCTGCACACAACCAACTACAGTGAGTACTGGAAACTTATCATACCAGAATGAATTCCTGCACACAACCTGACTACAGTGAGTACTGGAAACTTATCATACCAGAATGAATCCCTGCACACACAACCAACTACAGTGAGTACTGGAAACTTATCATACCAGAATGAATCCCTGCACACAACCAACTACAGTGAGTACTGGAAACTTATCATACTAGAATGAATCCCTGCACACACAACCAACTACAGTGAGTACTGGAAACTTATCATACCAGAATGAATCCCTGCACACACAACCAACTACTGTGAGTACTGGAAACTTATCATACCAGAATGAATCCCTGCACACACAACCAACTACAGTGAGTACTGGAAACTTATCATACCAGAATGAATCCCTGCACACACAACCAACTACAGTGAGTACTGGAAACTTATCATACCAGAATGAATCCCTGCACACACAACCAACTACTGTGAGTACTGGAAACTTATCATACCAGAATGAATCCCTGCACACAAACCAACTACAGTGAGTACTGGAAACTTATCATACCAGAATGAATCCTGCACACACAACCAACTACTGTGAGTACTGAAACTTATCATACCAGAATGAATCCCTGCACACACAACCAACTACAGTGAGTACTGGAAACTTATCATACCAGAATGAATTCCTGCACACACACGTTGCCACTGTGAGTACTGGAAACTTATAATGCCAGAATGAATCCTGCACACAACCAACTACTGGTGCTGGAAACTTATCATACCAGAATGAATCCTGCACACACAACCAACTACAGTGAGTACTGGAAACTTATCATACCAGAATGAATCCCTGCACACACAACCAACTACAGTGAGTACTGGAACTTATCATACCAGAATGAATCCCTGCACACACAACTAGCTACAGTGAGTACTGGAAGCTTATCATACTAGAATGAATCCTGCACACACAACCAACTACAGTGAGTGCTGGAAGCTTATCATACCAGGAATGAATCCCTGCACACACAACCAACTACTGTGAGTGCTGGAAACTTATCATACCAGAATGAATCCTGCACACACAATAGCTACTGTGAGTGCTGGAAGCTTATCATGCCAGAGATGAGATCCTGCACACACAACCAGCTACGGTGAAGGTGCTGGAGCTTATCATACTAGAATGAATCTGCACACAACCAACTACAGTGAGTACTGGAAACTTATCATACCAGAATGAATCCCCTGCACACACAACCAACTACTGTGAGTACTGGAGCTTATCATACCAGAATGAATCCCTGCACACACAACCAACTACAGTGAGTACTGGAAACTTATCATACCAGAATGAATCCCTGCACACACAACCAACTACAGTGAGTACTGGAAACTTATCATGCCAGAATGAATCCCTGCACACACAACCAACTACAGTGAGTACTGGAAACTTATCATACCAGAATGAATCCCCTGCATCCTGCAACCAACTACAGTGAGTGCTGAAACTTATCATACCAGAATGAACTCCTGCACACATAACCAACTACTGTGAGTACTGAAACTTATCATACCAGAATGAATCCCTGCACACACAACCAACTACGGTGGTGCTGGAAACTTATCATACCAGAATGAATCCCTGCACACAAGCCAACTACAGTGAGTACTGGAACTTATCATACTAGAATGAATCCCTGCACACACAACCAACTACAGGTGAGTACTGGAAGCTTATCATACCAGAGATGAATCCCTGCACACAACCAACTACGGTGAGTTACTGGAACTTATCATACTAGGATGAATCCTGCACACACAACCAACTACGGTGAGTACTGGAAGCTTATCATACCAGAATGAATCCCTGCACACACACAAACCAGCTACTGTGGTGAGTGCTGGAAACTTATCATACCAGAATGAATCCTGCACACAACCAACTACTGTGAGTACTGGAGCTTATCATACCAGAATGAATCCTGCACACAACCAACTACAGTGAGTACTGGAGCTTATCATACTAGAATGAATCCCTGCACACACAACCTACTGGTGAGTACTGGAAACTTATCATACCAGAATGAATCCTGCACACACAACCAACTACAGTGAGTACTGGAAACTTATCATACCAGAATGAATCCCTGCATCACACACAAAACAACTACAGTGAGTACTGGAAACTTGATTATCATACCAGAATGAATCCCTGCACACACAACCAACTACAGTGAGTACTGGAAACTTATC